CAGCACACTTGTGTACAGTTCAGGACACTTGTGTACAGTTCAGGACACTTGTGTACAGTTCAGGATACTTGTGTACAGTTCAGGATACTTGTGTACAGTTTTCAGACACTTTTACAGTTCAGGATCTTGTGTAACATTTCAGGACACTTGTTGTACAGTTTCAGGACACTTGTTACAGTTTCAGGACACCTTGTGTACAGTTCAGGACACTGTGTACAGTCAGGACACTTGTGTACAGTTCAGGACACTTGTGTACAGTTCAGGACACTTGTGTACAGTTCAGGACACTTGTGTACAGTTCAGGACACTTGTGTACAGTTCAGGAGACACTTGTGTACAGTCAGGACACTTGTGTACAGTTCAGACACTTTGACAGTTCAGGACTCACGGTGTACAGTTTCAGCATCTTGTGTAACAGTTCAGGGACACTTGTGTACAGTTCAGATACTTAGTACAGTTCAGACACTTGTGTAACAGTTCAGGACACTTGTGTACAGTTCAGGACACTTGGTACAGTTTCACACACGTTGTGTACAGTTCAGGACCTTGTGTACATTCAGGATACTTAATGTTACAGTTCCAAAACACCTTGTGTACAGTTCAGGACACTGTGTACAGTTCAGGACACTTGGTACAGTCAGGACACTTGTGTACAGTTCAGGACACTTGTGTACAGTTCAGCACACTTGTGTACAGTTCAGGACACTTGTGTACAGTTCAGGATACTTGTGTACAGTTCAGGACACTTGTGTACAGTTCAGGACACTTGTGTACAGTTCAGGACACTTGTGTACAGTTCAGGACACTTGTGTACAGTTTCAGACACTTGAGTACAGTTCAGGACCTTGTGTACTGTCAGACACTTGTGTACAGTTCAGGACACTTGTGTACAGTTCAGGACACTTGTGTACAGTTCAGGATACTTGTGTACAGTTCAGGACACTTGTGTACAGTTCAGGACACTTGTGTACAGTTCAGGACACTTGTGTACAGTTCAGGACACTTGTGTACAGTTCAGCACACTTGTGTACAGTTCAGGATACTTGTGTACAGTTCAGGACACTTGTGTACAGTTCAGGACACTTGTGTACAGTTCAGGACACTTGTGTACAGTCTCATCAACAACAGCGTCAAAATGTTTACATTTAAATATAGAAGCACAAAGATTCCTTTATAATGTTTCTTTTACACTGTAAATATTTTGGCGGACATATGTACCATAGCAGTGACAGCTCACTGATGAATTACCATGAGTTCTCGATAGTAGCAAAATCAAATCTGGACAATAAATCCTGTAGAGGAACTCCCAAATCACAATGGCAGGTTATTACATAATGTAATAACATACACTTCCTCTGTCTCTGGGGAGCGCAGAGTTGTCACCTTCCTCACACTGACTCACCTCTCCACTACCATTACTGCTCTTCCCTGACTCACCTCTCCACTACCATTACTGCTCTTCCTGACTCACCTCTCCACTACCATTTTCTGCCTTCCCACACACCTCTCCACTACCATAACTCATTACTGCTCTTCCCTGACTCACCTCTCCACTACCATTACTGCTCTTCCCTGACTCACCTCTCCACTACCATTACTGCTCTTCCCTGACTCACCTCTCCACTACCATTACTGCTCTTCCCTGACTCACCTCTCCACTACCATTACTGCTCTTTCCCTGACTCACACTCTCACTACCATTACAGCTCTTCCAGACTCACGCTCCACTACCATTACTGCTCTTTGCCCTGACTCACCTCTCCACTACCATTACTCTCTTCCCGACTCACCTCTCACGACCATTACTGCCCTCCCTGGACTCACCTCTCCACTACCATTTAACTGCCCTTTCCCTGATCACCTCTCCACTACCATTAAATGCTCTTTTCCCCTGACTCACCTCTCCACTACATTACTTGGCTCTTCCCCTGAATCACCACTCCACTACCATTACTGCTCTTTCCCCGGACCTTCACCTCTCCACTACTCAATTACTGCTCTTCCTGGACTCAATCACCTCTCCCACTACACCATTACTGCTCTTCCCCAGACTCACCCTCTCCACTACCATTACTGCTCTTCCCTGACTCACCTCTCCACTACCATTACTGCTCTTCCCTGACTCACCTCTCCACTACCATCACTGCTCTTCCCTGACTCACCTCTCCACTACCATTACTGCTCTTCCCTGACTCACCTCTCCCCTACCATTACGCACTTCCCTGACTCACCTCTCCACTACCATTACTGCTCTTCCCTGACTCACCTCTCCACTACCATTACTGCTCTTCCCTGACTCACCTCTCCACTACCATTACTGCTCTTGCCTGAACTTCACCTCTCCACTACCATTACGCCTTCCCTGACTCACCTCATCCCACTACCTTACTGCTCTTCCCTCCTACCCCTCTCCACTACCATTACGCCCTCTTTTCCATGACGCACCTCTCCACTAACCATCCCTGCTCTTCCCTGACTCACCTCTCCACTACCATTACTGCTCTTACCTGACTCCCTCTCCACACCATTACTGCTTCTTCCCCTGACTTCACCTCTCCACTACCCTTACTGCTCTTCCCTGACTCCACCTCTCCACTACCATACTTGCTTTCCCTGACTCACCTCTCCTCTACCATTACTGCTCTTCCTGACTCACGGCTCTCCACTACCATTACTGCTCTTCCTGACCACCTCTCCACTACCATTACTGCTCTTTTCCCTGACTCACCTCTCCTTCCACTACCATACAGCTCTTCCCTGACTCACCTCTCCACTACCATACTACTGCGCTTCCCGGACTCACCTCTCCACTACCATGTACGCTCTCTTCTGACGCACCTCTCCACTACCAGTACGCTCCTCACTGCTCACCTCCCACTACCATGACGGCTCTTCCCAGACTCACCTCTTCCCACTACCATTTCTGCTCTTCCCTGACCACCTCTCCACTGACCATTACTGCTCTCCTGACATCACTCTCCAACTACCATTACTCTGCCTCCCTGACTCACCTCTCCACTTACCATTACTGCTCGTCCCTGACTCACCTCTCCACTACATCACTGCTCCCTCCCTGACTCTCGCCACTACCATCACTGCTCCTCCCGGACTCATCATCACCTCTCACTACCATCACGCTCCTCCCTGACTCAACCTCTCACTACCCATCTCTGCTCTTCCCCTGACTCACCTCTTTCCACTACCTTTACTACTGCTCTTCCCTGACCACCTCTCGACACCAGCACTGCTCCTCCTTGAAACACTCTCCACTACCATAACTGCTCCTCCTACTCACCTCTCCACTATCCCCTCACTGCTCCTCCCTGACTCACCTCTCCACTACATCACGCTCCTCCTGACTCACCTCTCCACTAGCGGGGGGGGGGGGGGGGGGGCAGCCATAACTGCTCCCTCCCTGTCTCACCTCTCCACGAACTCTCACTGCTCCTCCCTGACTCCCTCTCCACTACCATCACTGCTCTTCCCCTGACTCACCTCGCCACTACCCACACTGCTCCTCCCTGGACTCACCTCTCACTACCATCACTGCTCCTTCCCCCTGACTCACCTCTCCACTACCATCACTGCTCCTCCCTGACTCACCTCTCCACTACCATCACTGCTCCTCCCTGACTCACCTCTCCACTACCATCACTGCTCCTCCCTGACTCACCTCTCCACTACCATCACTGCTCCTCCCTGACTCACCTCTCCACTACCCTCACTGCTCCTCCCTGACTCACCTCTCCACTACCATCACTGCTCCTCCCTGACTCACCTCTCCACTACCATCACTGCTCCCCCCTGACTCACCTCTCCACTACCCTCACTGATGTCCTCCCTGACTCTCTACACTACCCTCACTTGCTCCTCCGCCAGACTCTCTCCACTACCCTCACTGCTCCTCCCTGACTCAACTCTCCACTATCCCTCACTGCTCCTCCCGACTTCACCTCTCCATTACCTCACGGCTCCTCCCTGACTCACCTCTCCACTACCATCCACTGCTCCTCCCTGACTCACTTCTCCACTATCCTCACTGCTCCTCCCTGACTCACCTCTCCACTACCCTCACTGCTCCTCACTGACTCACCTCTCCACTACCATCACTGCTCCTCCCTGACCACCTCTCCACTACCCTCACTGCTCCCCCTACTCACCCTCTCCACTACCATCACGGTCCTCCCTGACTCCCTCTCCACTACCATCTCTGCCTCCCTCCCTGACTCACCTCTCCACTACCATCACTGCTCCTCCCTGACTCACCTCTCCACTACCATCACTGCTCCTCCCTGACTCACCTCTCCACTACCATCACTGCTCCTCCCTGACTCACCTCTCCACTACCATCACTGCTCCTCCCTGACTCACCCTCCACTACCATCAAGGGCTCCTCCCTGACTCACTCTCCAACTTATACCCCTCACTGCTTCCTCCCTGACCACCTCACCACTACCACACTTGCTCCTCCCTGACTCACCATCTCCACTACCATCACTGGCTCCTCCGTGACTCACCTCCCACTACCCCTCACTGCTCCTCCCTGACTCACCTCTCCACTACCATCACTGCCTCCTCTCCCTGACGCACCTCTCCACTAACCATCCTGCTCTCCGCTGACTCACCTCTCCACTACTATCCCTGCTCTCCTGTACAGGCGTTCAACAGTGAAAGATCTGTCCGTTGTCATCTTTTAGAATGGAAGACAAATTTAGTATACGAGATCTGAGGAAAAGCAGCCAAGTAATCCAGAAATCAAAAAAAAAAAGTTTCTTCACAACGTTAAAGTTAAAAAAATATAATATGTGGACAAAAGTCTTCGCACCTAGCTAAGTTTGGTATATTATCAGCAGTTAGTTTACGGGACATACATAAGGATAGACCAGGATACAGTATCCAGGATATACTGTCGTATTACGACAGCATTAGGATGAAAATACAACAAACTAAGAGTTTCAGAATACACTTTTAAATTAAAATATGATTTAAATTGGTGGTAAAATATATAAATACTTTGAACCAAACATTAGTACTGTGTGAAGAACAGCAACAATCACTGTTATTCCCTTATTACTGAGTGATTTATTAATATACATCACAGAGTGTATGTTCAGAGTCGTTTATAAAATTAGTGATCAACAGATCTTTAATTATATCATACTATGTACATGTTTCAAGTCTGTGACCAGCAGAGTGTCACCCGTGAGCCAGTGACCAGCAGAATGTCACTTGTGAACCAGAGACCAGCAGAATGTCACTTGTAAGCCAGTGACCAGCAGGGCGTCACTTGTGAGCCAGTGACCAGCAGGGCGTCACTTGTGAGCCAGTGACCAGCAGGGCGCCACCAGTGAGCCAGTGACAAGAAGACCGTCATCTGTGAGCTAGTGTCCAGCAGAGTGTCATATGTGACTAGTGGATCTTGGCTGGGTGAGAACATTCACACGTCTTCCTCCACTCGTTCTGATTCAGCGACTCAGCTAACGAACAATATTCTTATCTACGGTGGTGCATGTCTTGACACAGTTGTGTGATGGATGAGGATGGTGTGTCACAGTACGTAAGTCTCACACTCACCAGGTCACAGGACTAAAACACAGTCGTGTGATGGATGAGGATGGTGTCACAGTAGGAGAGTCTGAGACACACACCAGGTCACAGGTCTAGACACAGTCGTGTGATGGATGATGGTCTCACAGTAAGCAAGCCGGACACAGGGCCTCACACTCACCAGGTCACTTCACACAATGCAAACGTTCGTGTTCCCCAGAAAATAGATCACAGAACGCGTAAAGCACCTTATTGTATCTACAACTGGTGTACTGATGTGAACGCTGCAGTGTTATTTAGAAGGATATAATAAGTATTATCACCATCACAGTTACAACCTTTAAAGTTTCAACCCTGAAGTTGACAACTGTCCATTTTATTGCCAGTGGTGCGAGTATTAGTGAGAATAAAGGAAACACCGGGAGAAGTGAGAATAAGATTGGTGGTAACTTAGCCCCATGCAGCAATATCTGATACTGCCTGATTGCTGTTCCTTACTCAGGAATCATCACATCGTGACCTCTCTCAGGTACTGACACTGATGAATACGATTACCAAGGAAGTAATTATAATATTAGGCAACACTGTCCTTCCAAGGCGGCTCCTACAGCTGCTCAGTGAAAACATAAGCCGGATTTTTGTTGCCCCTGAGCTGGGTATGCTGAGGCGGCCGGGGCACCCGCGTCCGCCTCTGTGCTAGGTTATTGGCCTCCCTCTTGGGGTACACTGGCACCGAGACTGGTCTGTTCCATAACTGCTCCTTCGACGAGGCCATCAGGAAGCTGAGGCAGTTGGTAAGTGTGAGGATTATCGCTCCTGTGTACCAGATCATCCGCCACCGCTCCAGCGTTGCCTGTAAACAAATTATGACATTAATACTTGTTTTAATTTCTAAATATACAGGGCAAGTAGCTGAATATATCAGGTAATAACGAAATTCATGTTTTAGCCTGAAAAAAGACAAATCGAATATTAGAATAGATTCACTTAAATCATTCTTCATATAAATGTGAAGCCAAAACAAATACAACTCAAGAAACTCTGAAAGGGTTTGAGATACTGAACCTGGATTGAACTATGTATATATATATATATATATATATATATATATATATATATATATATATATATATATATATAAAACTGTGTCAGTCCTCAAATTTAGTTCGAATTAGAATATTTACAAGTATAATTTTGCCAAATACCGTAATATTATGATTTTAAGTTGGAGGTGTTACAGTGTTGGTAGCCAGGTGTTGCACTCAGCAAGCAACACTGAACAACATCTAACAATCACGTAACATTCACAAGATGAAATAAAAGTAATTAAATATAGATGTTAAGTGACTGAACATACATAAACATCCGTACAACTTCTACGAAGATAATATTTACTCGCAGCACACACATAAAACACGGTAGACAATATGTGCCTCACCTGTCCATTGGTAAGATAAGCGACGTAGAGCGGGGAGAGCACCTTGACGGAGGCGCTGATGGTGCCGCTCAAGCCAGCAATAGCAGCTGCATGATTGGGTGCCAGCTCAATGCCGTTGACACGGAAGGTGGAGAATGCTGCAGAGAGTCCCAGCACTAGTGCCATGGAGCACCACACCATCACTGCCACCTGGGAGCAACTAGACTGAGCCACCCCAATCAGACAACCCGCAGCCACCAGAGCACCTGAAGTTACAAATATTTCATCACGAAACTAGATAACACAGCAACACTAAAGGACAAACTATGACAGTGAATGAATGTCGTTAACGTATTTGTCAAGAAAAAAAATCACCTGAGGCTGGACTTGCTATTCTCCATCGACTAAATATTTCCTATTTGAAAAAAAAATTCGAATAACTATACAAGGTAAAACATTCCCAGTGAGAACTGTGACCAGTGTGTTTCCACGAGGAACATTGATGCCTTCGATATTTTTCTGATTTATATAAATAATTTGCTAGAAGGAGGAAAAAAAAAACTTATGCAGTCGTGTTATTACGATTTCGTAGGTCATGATGGCGACTTTGAAGGGACTTGAGCTAGAGTTCGCCACAGCCACGATGATGTGGGATTCATCTGTAAAAACCTAAATTTATGGTCACAGTGATGGCCCATGCTAACCTCCCTATGGTGTAGAGAAATATACCTAGTAGAAATATACCTATTAGAGCCAACCGGTCCAGTGGTTAACGCACTTGCATATCCTCTCAGAAAGACCTGGAGAGGTCAAGCAAGTGGAGTGACCTGGAGAGGTCAAGCAAGTGGAGTGACCTGGAGAGGTCAAGCAAGTGGAGTGGCCTGGAGAAGTGAAGCAAGTGGAGTGACCTGGAGAGGTCAAGCAAGTGGAGTGACCTGGAGAAGTCAAACAAGTGGAGTGACCTGGAGAGGTCAAGCAAGTGGAGCGATCTGGAGAGGTCAAGCAAGTGGAGTGACCTGGAGAGGTCAAGCAAGTGGAGTGACCTGGAGAGGTCAAGCAAGTGGAGTGACCTGGAGAGGTCAAGCAAGTGGAGTGGCCTGGAGAAGTGAAGCAAGTGGAGTGACCTGGAGAGGTCAAGCAAGTGGAGTGACCTGGAGAGATCAAGCAAGTGGAGTGACCTGGAGAGGTCAAGCAAGTGGAGTGACCTGGAGAGATCAAGCAAGTGGAGTGACCTGGAGAGGTCAAGCAAGTGGAGTGACCTGGAGAGGTCAAGCAAGTGGAGTGACCTGGAGAGGTCAAGCAAGTGGAGTGACCTGGAGAGGTCAAGCAAGTGGAGTGACCTGGAGAGGTCAAGCAAGTGGAGTGACCTGGAGAGGTCAAGCAAGTGGAGTGACCTGGAGAGGTCAAGCAAGTGGAGTGACCTGGAGAGGTCAAGCAAGTGGAGTGACCTGGAGAGGTCAAGCAAGTGGAGTGACCTGGAGAGGTCAAGCAAGTGGAGTGACCTGGAGAGGTCAAGCAAGTGGAGTGACCTGGAGAGGTCAAGCAAGTGGAGTGACCTGGAGAGGTCAAGCAAGTGGAGTGACCTGGAGAGGTCAAGCAAGTGGAGTGACCTGGAGAGGTCAAGCAAGTGGAGTGACCTGGAGAGGTCAAGCAAGTGGAGTAAGAGATGCAAGATTAAATTTAATGTGAGTAAATATGTTGTAATAGAAATATTTGAAAAAAAACAGGTCACAAAAAAATATAAATTGTATAAAAAAAAGTTAATAAAATATGTATACGAGGATCAAGGCGCCATCACAGACCAAATAATTGCCATGAAAGAATCCTATAAATGAAATAATGAGGAACGTGTATATGACACTGGTCAACATTAAACCAACATTTAGATACATGGACGGGGAAATACTGAAACGCTGTTCACAATATATGTATGATGAAAACTGGAACATACAGGGCTGGTGGTATTGTGCCCACCACTTAAAAAAAAAATCAGAAATTTTGAAAAAAGACGATCCTTATGGTTCCTTATGGTAAAAAAAAATATGAGTGGTTAACGCTCTCGCTTCACACGGTGAGAGCCTGGGTTCGATTCCCAGCCAGAGTAGAAACATTGGACGTGTTTCTTTCAACCTGTTGTCTATGTTCCCCATCAGTAAAATGGGTACCTGGGTGTTAGTCGACTGGTGTGGGTCGCATCCTGGGACACTGACCTAAGGAGGCCTGGTCACAGACCGGGCCGCGGGGGCGTTGACCCCCGGAACTCTCTCCAGGTAAACTCCAGGTAAACTGAAGATGATCATCTTTGGCGGACAGGAAGATAAGACTAGTAGAGCAGACATGATGGATCCATTTTAAATTGTTAAAGATTACGAAACAACTGACAGAGATTTAATAGCCACATCAACTGGCATAACAACTGCCATAAATAGAGCTACCAAAAGGATGTTAAAAAAAGTTTATCTTCACAGAGTTGTCGAACTCTGGACTGGTCTTCACAAGATATGTTTACAAACACTGTAATGTTAGGTACCAGCCTCGCTGAACTTCCTCCTTCAGTCAGACATAAATAATGTGATATGGTTAGTAAGACATGATTACTGATATATGAATAAGGACAGAGAGGTGGTGTGTGGTACTCACAGATGGTGTTAGCAATGCGTCGCACGACCACAGTGGAGCAGCGGTTGGTGCGTCGTGCCCAGTCGCAGAGTGTAGCATAAACCAGCACCGTCACCCACATAGCCATCAGTGCTGTACCCCAGGCTACACGAACCTGTCAATATTCAACACTCAGAGAGTGTACCAGTCACTAGCACCATCACCCACACAACTACTCGTCAACACTTAGTGTGTATATAAAGACATATATCAAGTTTTGTTGCAAATGGCTTCTTCAGTCCTAATAACTAGTAAGCTATAATAGTGTCTAATATAAGAGTCTTGGACAGGTGACATATAACGAGGCTCTAGTGAGGCAGGTTGCAGTAAGTACAGCGATCCTAATATGGGTAAAAAAGTCTGTTTGCTAAGAGTTTGGAAAGAGCGAGGCTCCCTGACTTTTGTGGATTGTGTTGATGGTGGTAATTAAGCAGCCTCCATGCACTTCCTTTTTCATTGGTCACTTTTATGGTCGATTAACCAGCCCTCATTCCAATGCACGCAGGCATTGTAATGTTCATCCAAGTTGCATGCATATTTGTGTTCTAGAAGTCTAACTGCCAATGATTTAGCAGTTTCTGGTATATATAACTGCCAATGATCTAGCAGTTTCTGCTACGTATAACTGCCAATGATCTAGCAGTTTCTGCTACATATAATTGCCAATGATCTAGCAGTTTCTGCTACATATAATTGCCAATGATCTAGCAGTTTCTGCTACATATAATTGCCAATGATCTAACAGTTTCTGCTACATATAATTGCCAATGATCTAGCAGTTTCTGCTACATATAATTGCCAATGATCTAGCAGTTTCTGCTACATATAATTGCCAATGATGTAGCAGTTTCTGCTATATATAACTGCCAGTGATCTAGCAGTTCCGCTACATACATTTTATTTCCTTCCTCTCAGTGTATAATGTATATTCCTTCACTGGTAGTAGAGTAGTTCATATATTTCTCTACCAAGTTTTCGATATATTACGAAAAATTGGGGATATTTTAACGAGTTGGTTAAGTAGCTAAGGTAGATATGACGTTGCTAAGCGGCATAACGGTGTATCTTACAGTTTCTTCTACTTGTTAGTGTGTCACGCTTCCTTCACTCTCCTCTGAAGTGTTGGATAAATGTATCAACCTTAGTTCACGTGTGATGTACATGTATTCCTCCTCCAGGAACTGTGGACTGGAGATTCAGAAGGCTCCGAGGAAGAACCCAATGATTACACCCGTCTTTGTTCTGATGTGGTGGGAGTAGAAGTTTAATATGGGTTTTCAGTGGCTGATTTAACGATAAATGAACTAAACAGCTGCTTAATCCTTCGTGAGTAGAGTTCCTCTCTGGAACATTTGGCTTATGGTCGTGTGGATTCCTGCGCGACAACAAATATTTATTTGCATATTATGCATACTGTTTCGATTCTGAAATGAAAACGCATTTTTAAGCTGTTCTTATATTTGTTGAATAATAATTTTTGAAAAAAAAAAAATCCATTTGTGTGACAACATTGACAGCGGGCCAGCGGCAGTACAATCATTCGTCTCGCTCTAATACTGAAATTTAATTTGCACTAGTGCAATAGTTTAAGGCCCTTGGACCTCTAAATCGGCTACTGTAGGCTGTCAGTATACCTTAAATGGCAGTTTGTATTCACCTGTGTGTGGAAGTATATTTAGAAATAGTACATGGTTAGCCCTTTCCTTTCCATTGTGAATTTGTTAGGTTCAAAATTGCTGATGCAGTCAAGGATATCATGCACACCGGTCACAATGACCAAAACATCGTCCACATACCACAGCCATCTGATTGACCCGGGAATGACAGGATGAGGCTTGATTCTAAGTTCTTCATATACAGGTTGGTCTGAGCCATGCTGAGGTGTAAGCCCGTGGCTAATACGTTTGTTTACTTTCAGAGCTGAAGCATCTATAATGAAAGCAAAGCTCAATCATATCAACAAAATCTCTGCAAAGCAGAGTACAGTTTGCATCCACGGTGATCACTCTGCACACAGGGTCAGTTACCAGGTCCAGTGACATTTTAAAAAATAAGGTCATAACGTTGAAATTTGCTAGATTCTTAACTCAAACACACTCATGAGGTCGCCCGAGTGTTTTAGGTGCGCTTAACTAGTTGTCGCAAGGAACATTCTCAAGCTTAGTTAGAAGTCCTGCCAGGTTGTGCAGCGCGATAATTTAAGGTTTACCTAAAACCTGCATGCGAGATTATTTATTACACTTCCAATGCCACTATGACATCAACACAAAAACCGAGGTGTAGCCATAGTCATCATCATCAGGGACTTCAGAATCTCCAGTCCACAGCTATTGGAGGAGGAATGCTCGTGTATCACCGACACATTCAGTCTGCTACAATTCCTGTACATATTATATAAGAGTACAAAACATATGCCACAGCACTACCATTAATCCATCAGTAGAAGAAGCTGCCAGATATATAGTTTTGCCGGTCAGCAACGTGGCATCTAATGTGGCTAACCTATTTAATAATAATCAACTTGTTAAAATATAAACTAACTCTTCATCATAATCAAAAACTTGTTGCAGGAAGATAAGAGTGATTTTACTACTACGGCAGCAATATACATTGTAGGCCCTAATATATGTGGATGCAATAAAAATTACGTAGGAGAACCTGCTATATCACTGGAAATTGGAAATCACGAACACGAATACGCCCGCTGCTAGGACGACTGTAACAAAGCCTGAATGCAACACAAGGACGATTGTGGAAACCTGATGGAATAAAGCTCAGTTAGGCATATGTGATTAACGGAAGCAGAAGTGCATGGAACCTGCTTTAATTGCTACCACCGACACAGTCCTACGATAACCCGGCAGCTTCAGTGTTTCCAAATTCTTAGCCAACAGATTATTACCCATATTAAGATGTCACGTTATATCCACTTTTTGTGACATGCCCATCAAACTCTGGTACATGTTACCTATCCCAGACTATTATATAAGGCTCCTTTGTTTTCTATCTTACTCAGGTTACTCAGTGGGTATTATTCCTTTCAGTGGGTATGATCTATGCTAATGGACTTTATATTTGCTAGTATTATCCTTGCTAGTTCTGCATTAATGCACATGTACTGGCAATACAAGGGGATGAACACCTGCATGTACACAAACGTTGAGGTAGAGAGCTGCTCCTCCCTTAGTTAACGTAAATATGAGAAGAGTTTTATCTCTCCTGTTTTAATCTGATTAATGTAGTAACACAGAAGGTGCTACATGGAGGAGGATACACTCACCTGGTGTGGAGGAACGTGGAGGACTGTGACGGAATACTCTCGTGCGTGATGCAGCAAGGTGAACCATGCCCAGGAGAAGCCTAGTTCTGCCAGGATCAACGCTACCACATGACGAGATCTGCAATACCTCAATATGTTACTATACTGCTCCTAGCCAACTATGTTCTCTCATTATGCACATGCTTGTATATTCTAATGTTGCTTTTACAACCTATGTTTATGCAGGCGTGTGTGGCCGTGTTGTGTGAAAGATAATACTCGTGGGTGTGTTGGCTCACTGATGGTTCTGATAGCGGAGTAGAATGGATATACCAGGTTAAACAAATAACCCACAAGGCCTCGCATACTCTCGATTCAGTGTGACTGAGTAATGTTTTATCAGGTTGTCATCCACCAGTGTGATCGTGTCTCGTCTCCAGGGTTTGTCGTCTAGGACATTTTCAGATTTGTGTGGTAAGCATTAAAAAAAAATATAATGTTAGTATATGTTAAATACAGTCGAACTGTATTTAAAATATCTTGTGCAAATGTTGAAAAGTTAACTTGTAAATATGGAAGACAATTCACACAGCTGTATGAAATATGGAAGCAATTAGGTATATTAAAACCGACTAGTTGAAGAAAAATACACATGAGGAAACATTTAAGGCATTTTAAAAGGAAGAGTTTCGGCCCAGTGCCTTGTTCACTGTTTATAATGCGCAGAACAAGAGAAATATTTATAAAAAAATAATCTCAAGCCAGAGGAGGTACAAAAATACAAACTTTGGGAAGTAGTACATACAACATGAAGCCAGACCACACATAACTCTGGCACCCAGCAAACTACGGACCAAAGTTCGTAGGTTCGAGTCTCCTCTGGCCTAGATTTAAATTAGATTTGTCACCAATTGGAAGTTTATTGTGCACCCCAATCCACTGTGAGGTTAAGCGCAAAGAACATATTTGATAAACACAAAAAAGCCTAGGAACTAGAATCCAAGAATGGATTACAGTGAATACACTGGATTAGTATCCACAGTATCTACCTTATCTGTTACCAAGCAATTTAGGTCAATTTGCCAATTAATATAGATCTGTATTAAATTTTCATTAAAAGTACTTGACATGTACATAGTATACTATCCTCTATATCTACACATAACTGACAGTTAAACTGGCCTGAGGTAAATGTAAATATTGCTTTAATCTACTCACCTACTGTTATAAAGAATCTAATACCACTTGTGATCAGTGGCTACCAACATGTGATCATGCATCCAACTTGTGATCATTGCTACCAACTTGTGAGTCAGTGCTACAACTGGGTAGTCATGCTTTACCAACTTGTGAGTCAGTGCTACCAACTTGTGAGTCATGTACTACCAACTTGTGAGTCAGTGCTACCAACTTGTGAGTCAGTGCTACCAACTTGTGAGTCAGTGCTACCAACTTGTGAGTCATGTGCTACCAACTTGTGAGTCAGTGCTACCAACTTGTGAGTCAGTGCTACCAACTTGTGAGTCAGTGCTACCAACTTGTGAGTCAGTGCTACCAACTTGTGAGTCAGTGCCCTAACCAAACTTGTGAGTCAGTGCTACCAACTTGTGAGTCAGTGCTACCAACTTGTGAGTCAGTGCTACCAACTTGTGAGTCAGTGTTACCAACTTGTGAGTCAGTGCTACCAACTTGTGAGTCAGTGCTACCAACTTGTGAGTCAGTGCTACCAACTTGTGAGTCAGTGTACCAACTTGTGAGTCAGTGCTACCAACTTGTGAGTCAGTGCTACCAACTTGTGAGTCAGTGCTACCAACTTGTGAGTCAGTGCTACCAACTTGTGAGTCAGTGCTACCAACTTGTGAGTCAGTGTACCAACTTGTGAGTCAGTGCTACCAACTTGTGAGTCAGTGTTACCAACTTGTGAGTCAGTGCTACCAACTTGTGAGTCAGTGCTACCAACTTGTGAGTCAGTGCTACCAACTTGTGAGTCAGTGCTACCAACTTGTGAGTCAGTGTTACCAACTTGTGAGTCAGTGCTACCAACTTGTGAGTCAGTGCTACCAACTTGTGAGTCAGTGTTACTAACTTGTGAGTCAGTGCTACCAACTTGTGAGTCAGTGTTACTAACTTGTGAGTCAGTGTTACCAACTTGTGAGTCAGTGCTACCAACTTGTGAGTCAGTGTACAACTTGTGAGTCAGTGCTACCAACTTGTGAGTCAGTGCTACCAACTTGTGAGTCAGTGTTACTAACTCGTGAGTCAGTGCTACCAACTTGTGAGTCAGTGCTACCAACTTGTGAGTCAGTGTTACTAACTTGTGAGTCAGTGCTACCAACTTTGATGAGATCAGTGTACAACTTGTGAGTCAGTGCTACCAACTGTAGTCAGTCTAATACCACTTGTGAGTCAGTGCTACCAACTTGTGAGTCAGTGCTACCAACTTGTGAGTCAGTGCTACCAACTTGTGAGTCAGTGCTACCAACTTGTGAGTCAGTGCTACCAACTTGTGAGTCAGTGCTACCAACTTGTGAGTCAGTGCTACCAACTTGTGAGTCAGTGCTACCAACTTGTGAGTCAGTGCTACTAACTTGTGAGTCATGTTACAACTGTGAATCAGTGCTACCAACTGTGAGTCAGTGTTACCAACTTGTGAGTCAGTTCAACTTTGATCAGGCTACCAACTTGTGAGTCAGTGCTACCAACTTGTGAGTCAGTGTTACCAACTTGTGAGTCAGTGCTACCAACTTGTGAGTTAGTGCTACCAACTTGTGAGTCAGTGCTACCAACTTGTGAGTCAGTGTTACCAACTTGTGAGTCAGTGCTACCAACTTGTGAGTCAGTGCTACCAACTTGTGAGTTAGTGCTACCAACTTGTGAGTCAGTGCTACCAACTTGTGAGTCAGTGCTACCAACTTGTGAGTCAGTGCTACCAACTTGTGAATCAGTGCTACCAACTTGTGAGTCAGTGTTACCAACTTGTGAGCCAGTGCTACCAACTTGTGAGTCAGTGCTACCAACTTGTGAGTCAGTGCTACCAACTTGTGAGTCAGTGCTACCAACTTGTGAGTCAGTGTTACCAATTTGTGAGTCAGTGTTACCAACTTGTGAGTCAGTGCTACCAACTTGTGAGTCAGTGTTACCAACTTGTGAGTCAGTGTTACTAACTTGTGATTCAGTGCTACCAACTCGTGAGTCAGTGCTACCAACTTGTGAGTCAGTGCTACCAACTCGTGAGTCAGTGCTACCAACTTGTGAGTCAGTGTTACCAACTTGTGAGTCAGTGCTACCAACTTGAGAGTCAGTGTTACTAACTTGTGAGTCAGTGCTACCAACTTGTGAGTCAGTGCTACCAACTTGTGAGTCAGTGCTACCAACTCGTGAGTCAGTGCTACCAACTTGTGAGTCAGTGCTACCAACTTGTGAGTCAGTGTTACCAACTTGTGAGTCAGTGCTACCAACTTGTGAGTCAGTGCTACCAACTCGTGAGTCAGTGCTACCAACTTGTGAGTCAGTGCTACCAACTTGTGAGTCAGTGTTACCAACTTGTGAGTCAGTGTTACTAACTTGTGAGTCAGTGCTACCAACTCGTGAGTCAGTGCTACCAACTTGTGAGTCAGTGCTACCAACTCGTGAGTCAGTGCTACCAACTTGTGAGTCAGTGTTACCAACTTGTGAGTCAGTGCTACCAACTTGTGAGTCAGTGTTACTAACTTGTGAGTCAGTGCTACCAACTTGTGAGTCAGTGCTACCAACTTGTGAGTCAGTGCTACCAACTCGTGAGTCAGTGCTACCAACTTGTGAGTCAGTGTTACCAACTTGTGAGTCAGTGCTACCAACTCGTGTGTCAGTGCTACCAACTCGTGAGACGATCAATGAGTCGTTACTGAACCCGAATTAAGATGTCGATACTCACAAGACTCTCTCTCTCTCTCTCCCTCTCTCTTTCATTGCCGTTTCTGACACTATTAAATAGACAGCATCTCCAACACTAGCCCACGTGAACCTTTATCACGCCCACACTAAAACACAGTGATTAGGTAACCTCGCTTCCACGAGGCTTAAATTTGATCTGATATCTGCTTAAACCAGGTCTGAAATTGCTTATAAATGAACTAAACTCTCTTACCTCACCTGTTCACTCAGCTATATATATTGTTTCAATGTACAATATGTGTCACTGAAGTCAACAATGTGTCAAGACTGAATCACTTAATTTTAAAAAGTCTGAAGTGTTTACACGTCTGTTTTCTTGTTCAAGCTATCAATTATTTTATATAAATTATATTACTTTCTTTTCTTAATACAAACTAAGAAATTCTGATAATGGCGATACAGAAGGAATGTAACTACAGGAAATATTTATTTCAGTAAAACAGTAAGAATTATCAACGTCTGATCTGACTCAATTTGTGGCCTCAAATTTCATAGATATTTGAAAATTTCCACCTGAAACGTTTTGTTATGGAATATCAAATTTCACAAATAAATTACCTAATATATAAACGAACACACACACACACACACACACACACACACAAAACACACATACACACACAAACACACACACACACACACACACACATACACACATACACACACACACACAAACACACATACACACACACACACACACACACACACACATACATACACACACACACACACACACACACAAACACACATACACACACAAACACACATACACACACAAACACACACACACACACACACACACACACACACACACACACACACACATACACCTCCTCCTGTCTACCATACTTCCCTTCTGGTGTGTGACACACGAGACCATGAAGTCGGAACTGTTCAGCTGTCGCCTTTCCGCAAATACACCTATGTTCGGTGAGTATGGGGGCGGCTAGGCAAGAGCAACACCAATCCAAATGGCCTGTGGTTCGAGCCGAGTGCCCAGAGAGGAATTGGGAACAACTAGAGGAAAATCTCCCAAATATGGTGCCTTTACTGCTAGGAGACGAGCTTTGTCTTTTCCTGAAGCTTTGGTGAGCATTGTGTTGGCAATTTTTACCAAGATTGGTTTGTCCCAGTGGGACTGTTTGTGCTCTCTGGGAGGAGCTGGTCTACTGGAAGAGTCGGCAAGGGTGTCCCACCCAATGGCTG